AAAAGAAAATTAAGAAACTAGAAACATAGGCAGCGGACAAGAAAGAGGAGAGTTTGTTTATAAAGAAATTAGGTGAGGTGAGATTAGGCCAACTACTTTGATAATAAAGAGATTTAATGTATATTTTACATATATGTTTTCCTAAAAGTTATCCGTCAACCATCTCTCCGGATTTTACGGCATTTACCAAAACGTCTAACATTATTTAATATTTATTTATTCTCTGTTAAAGATATTTGCTCAACAAGGAGAGATTACATGTAAATTTCCCGGATTTTACGGCCTCTAACTTTATCTAAATATATTTATTAAAGATTTTTTGCGTATTCTCCAAAGAATTCCTTAAAATATATCAACTTGCCAAAAGAACGCATAAACTATTTTGACTATTCAAATTCTGGATACGTTAAGCATCACATATTGCATGTTATCGATTCAAGACATGTTATATTGCATGTTATATCACATGAACTATTTAATATTATCTTCCATTTTTTTTTTGTAAATTAATATTATCTTTCATATATTCCAACTTTTAAAATTGGTTTTTTTTTTTTTTGAGAAAACTTTTAAAATTTTTTGATTTTATAGTTTTGATATTAGCGACCTTACTCCATTACAAACTTCTGTTTACGCTGTTGTATCGAGGTCGTAAAATCAATGAATGAACGTTAGACTATAGTATTAAAAATAAAATCAAGTAAATATTCGGGAAATTAAAATAATTAGTGTATGTTCTAAACCAATTAAGTGAAGTATAGATGACGACAACAAAAAAAGTTAAGATAAAATATTTTTGCCAAGATTTGTTTCTATAATTTTTTTTTTCTTTATTCTATTCTAAATGCGATTTTTTCTTTTTAAAGAGAACAATTTTTTAGTTTTTCCTTAGGGATGAATATTTTATTTATTCATCAATTATCTATTAACTAATCACAATTTAGATAAAAAAATAGTTTATGTTAAATAAATAAAATAATTATGGAAACTACAAATAATAAACCTTAAACCTCAAATAATAAACCATAAACTCTAAATAATGAATTCTAAACTCAAATACTAAACTCCAAATAAAATAAAAAATATTAAATTCTAAATCCTAAACCCCAAATAATAAATCTTAACCCGAAATACTAA